TTATTTCTTTGGGGTTGTAAAAAGAAAATAAGTTTTTTATTTCTTCTTTTTTTATCTTAATTTTCATATTTAACCAACAAAAAGAGTAATACAATAATACTCCGTTTAATGCATAAAATATTAGAACCTACGACTTCGTATATTTTTAGTTTTTATTTCTGACGAGTTTTGGGTTGTTTTTTATTACCTTATTGTTTTAATTAATGTTTTATGGTTTTTCAGTTATTTTTTTCTCATTTTTGTTATTTTTATATTTATTTGTTTATTTTTTTGAGGTAAAACTAATATATGAGTACGGTTCTGTTGACACTCAACAACGATGATACTAGCGGTACCACTGCATTTCTAGTACACCTCCCGTGCTCCAATTGAAAAATTGATGGATCCTACCCCCAACCCACCCCTAAACCCGCCACCTCTCCATCCAAAGATTTGGAGTGTTGCTTACGACGGGGTTGGGGTGGGACTAAGGTAGGAGGTTTAGGGTGTAGGAACCATTAAAACATAGTGCCACAGCTAGTGTCACCGTTGTTGAGTCAACGGAGCCGTGCTCATATTAAAAAGAAAAGAAAAAGAAGTGAGAGAGGTAAAAGGTCATTTTTAAAATTTAAATAAAAATTTTAATAAAAAACTAAATACAAAAATTAATTCCAACTGTTGTTTTGTTGCGCAAAACAGGTTATTTTTTAACTAGCCGCTTAATGACGACCTAAAACTCAAAAGATTCAGTAAAATTTGAGTTATTATGCATCACAGTAAAAATGTAGTTTATTTTAAAGACTGAGCAAAGTTGAAACTATTCTTGATAATTTTTTCAAAAATTTATTCACATCAATTCTTTTTTATATCTAAAACGTCAAAACTAATTAAAAACATTGTTTTCAAAAAAAACCGGCATCAAATTAGATTGAGTACTAAATCATCACACTAGGATTTGGGATCAACCCTAAGGTTGGAGGCTTTAAACAATTAAACATACACAGAGAAAGAATGAAAGAACCTAAGAGTGAAGACGAAAAGGTAAATCTTTAATCTCTTTTTTCTCGCTCTCTCTAAGCATTTGCGATTTGTGCTTCATACTGGTTTTTGATTGAATTGGAAACAAACTCGCCCAATTGAATCTCGGAATCATAAAAAAGTTTCCCCCTTTTGATTTTTCCGTGATGCTCTTCCCATGTTTTCGTTGGAATTTTAACACTATTCTTCTTCAATTTACTTTTCACATGTTTTTGAGGAACAGATGAAGAATGTGAATGGGCTTCAACCCTTTACAGAAATACCCTCTGACCTGTTATGGGAAATTCTGGGCAGAGTTTCTATTAAGACATGTTTAACTTGTAAGCTTGTTTGCAAAGAATGGTATAGTATCGTAATCAATCCAGAGTTCTCTTCTTTCCGCCGCCATTGTATACCCTCCCGGTTCACCATCGTGTTGCACGATGGGTTGGGTGCTCGATGGGGGTTTAATTTCTGTATGCTTGAGCTTGAAAAGGCTTTGAATGTCGATGGTTCGGGGAATTGTGTTATGGGTGTTCACGATCTCATTAGGTTTGAGAAGCCGAATATTTGCCTCTCCACGACAATTTCGTATGTGATGTCTCATTGCAATGGGGTTCTTTGTTTTGTAAGTACAAAGGGAGACTACATTGTGTGCAAATTGCTCACGGGTCAGTGTGTGAAGTTGCAAAATTTGCACAAACAGAGGAATGGATCTTCTGATATAGGACACGTTGAATTGGGGTGTTTTCCGGTGTCGGGCCAATTCAAGGTTCTCATTCTACTTTGGGACAAAGCAAAGGGTACCCAAGTGGCAAAGGTACAGACTTTGGGTAACGCTGAATGGAGGAGCGTGGGCAATGCACCCTTAAAGATTCGGAGGGGTGGGCGTTTCGTGAACGGGTCTAGTCATTGGCATAGGCATACTCTCAAATGTATATGGTGCTTTCATTTTGGGAAAGAAAAGTTTTCACAAATGCCTTTGCCCGACGATGCCATAAACGGACCATACGGGAAGGGGATTCAAGAATTGAGCATTTTCGACTCGTGCCTATGTTTTCGGGTGCAGCTCGAAGGGCGGTGTCGAGATCGACGTATGGGTTATGAAAGAATATGGTGTGAAAGAATCTTGGGTGAGACAATTTGTCATAGTGACTAACAATTGGTGTGTGCCTCTAGCACACATGGATAAGGGAAACCTATTTGTGAGGAATGTGTTTAATAATGAATTTTCCTTGTATGATCCACAAACCCAAGTTTTAAAGAGAGTGGAAATCGAGCTCGATGATCAGTCTTATGATATTGGAGGGTTGCCTGTGGCATTTTGATGTATGTTTCTCAAGATTATAATAACTCATCTAAATTCTAAATTAAGTACTTTTGTTAATTTTTTTTCATAGTCATTTCTTTATTTATTTATCGACTCTTTTCGGTAAAAATTGAACAAAAACACTGAGATGAAAAGAATAAAATGAATCAGTAAAAATTGAGATTTAATACACATAGTTGGACTCCCAACTATGTGTATTAAAATGTCCAAAATTTGGAGTTAAGGGCTAGATATCATTATAGTGATGTTGTGTATGCATTTGTACTCTCTTTTGGTGCTAGTGGAGTTGGTTAGACCGAAGGGTCTCGTGGTTTTTTACTCTTTCGCGTTGGAAGAGTTTTCCACATTAAAATCTTGTGCTTCATATCATTTTATTTTCATGTTTGGATCATCTTGTTGCTTGGTGTTGTTCTTTGGAGTGTTTGTTGTTCCTCGGATATTATTTCAAGAGGGAAAGGTTGTGATCTTGGGCACAACACATCTTTTGTGTTCTTTCCTTTCCCAACACGGTGGTCATAAATATACTCTTTATGCATTTAAATGAAAGTAATACGACCTACTTGATTGTTAAAAAATTATAATTTATTTTTGAGACATTCTTATTTAAAAAAATGGGAACTTGAATATAAAATAAACTCCTTCCGTCTGCAAAAGAATTTACAAAAATATAAAATGTATGCTTTAATTTTAGGTCCATATAAGATCCTTCTCACATATTTTTTAATTTTAAAGTGCTTATTTCAACACTTAAAAATACTTATTTTGTTAGCCTTAGCTTGGTTTGCTAAGACTTGTGTTTTGATGTTAACAAACAATATAAGAGCTTAACGTTTATTTAAGTGTTTCAGGTAAAACAAGAATCCATTAAGATTCGGTACTCAAGAATGAAGTCGAAACACCAAACTAGTGTAGAATATAGGTAGAAACCAATGTAAGGATATGACTTTATATACCTATATTCACAAGCTCAAAAGTACTCACAAAATATGTTTAAAACCATCCCATAAATATTTTCAAATATCTAAAAAGTTTTAAACTCAAACACGAAGAATTAAGGGAATTTTGGAAAGCGCAGGACAGTGGTACGGTACCCCATACCGTCGACATGGTACCCTATACCGCTGGCACGGTACCCCTGTACCGTTAGAGGACAGGTACCGCCCGAGCCGGATTGGTTTGATGTGTTACACGGTACCGAGGTACCTCCACTCACGGTACCCCCCTACCGTACGCACGGTACCTTGCTACCGTGAGGACGGTACTGGCCTACCGTGACCATTAGGTTACTGTTCCTGATTTGTGATTTTGACTTTAATCAATCCTAATCACCTCCCAACGACTAATTAACCTTTCCCACTATAAATACAAGCCTAATCCTTCATATTTTTTCAAGAAAAAAAGCTCCAAACATCCTCCATTTATATTCTAAGTGTATTTACTCTTTTATTCATTATTTTCAATATTTTGGCTATTTCAAGAGCCTTAAATTCCTGATTTTTATATACACACTTAGAGCTTGTGTTTCTAGTTATATGCTCTCATATTCATAAGTTTGTATTGTATTTTTGAGAGAGTATAATTTCCTTCTACACCGGCTAAGTTTTGTTCTTCATTTTTATATTCTAGCCGTTGTGTAGAACCTTTGTTTGTGTTCTTCAAACACACCTTCTTACGGTCGAGAATTGCCGTTAAATTCTCACGCTGTAATGGTTAAGGATAGTCGTATAAATCCTTGGGTAAAGGTTCAAGGATAGCCTTTGAAATCCTTGGGGGAACGGTAGAAGATAGCCGTTAAATCTTCGTTGTAAACGGTTCGAGATAGCCGCTGTAAAATCTCGGAGTGAATCCTATTTGTAAGGGTTGTTTGTCAAACTAGTGCGGTGCTTTGACGGAGTTCAAGAGACCGGGACTTAGTGGATTCGGAAATTCTTAAGGAGGAGCCTTAAGTTACTGGAGTAGAGAGTTCCCGAACCAGTATAAATTCGGTGTGCATTTTACTTTATGCTTTTATTTTTGCGTTTTATATATTGCTTCCGCATTTGCCAACACCGTTTTTATCAAAATACGAAAAGTTTCCGAACGCCTTATTCACCCCCTCTAAGGCGTGGGCACAACGACTAAAACCGATTAACATATTTAACATATATGAAGGTCCACTATGAACCTTAGGTGCATGTAATAATTTGTCCTAAAATAACATAAAGTTGTTGTTAAGGCAATTTGTTTTTTCTCTAGGATGTGAATTTTGAGGTAGAGCATGAGTAACTAAAATACTCCATATTATACAAACTAATTATCAAAAGGAAAGAAAGCAAATTATTGCATGGATCTATGTTCTATAGTTGACCTTCATATTTGTTAAATAAGCAATTTTTTAAGTGTTAAAATAAGCGTTTTTAAAGTAAAAATATGTAGGAAGATCTATGTTGACCTTAGGTCCACTTTAGAACAGCTTTTTAAAAAAACGCCACAATTCCTTTTGATGTCAAGTTTTAGAAGATGGAGTGGAAGATTTGGAAAGGTTTGGCCATTTGGGGGTGTAAATTACTTTCTAGTCCAACAATGCCAAACTTTGAACTCACTTATACTCCATTTATATTGCATATTAGGATAATGAAATAAAATTTTAAAAGTTCTAAATACGATAAATCGAATAAAGTCATTTTTATGTTAAAATACATTACATTTTTTATTTAATCGAAGTTCAAAATTTGTTAAGTTTGGCCCAGGAGGGAGGGAGCATAAAATTTGGAAGTATTCAAAATGATCCGGAATCTCATCCCCAAAACACAAAGAAACCTATGAAGACTTTGTTAGAAATTCTTTATTTTTGTTAAGCTTGGAAGATTGGATGCATGTTGTTCTTGACTTGTTATCAGACACTATCGAATCTCATGTATGCTAAAATGTCAAAAAAGTTCGTATTTTGCAGGCATCCTATTCGACGATCAATTCATCTTCATTTCTCCACGCTACATCATCACCCATCTTCCTACTCTCTATTTGATGGATGCAAATCCATGGGCCATCTCAGACAAATTCACGCATTTTATATCCGTAAATGGCCTTCCACTGACCTTATCGTCTGCTCCAAGATCGTAGCTTTCTGTTGCACCCATGATTCTGGGGATATGAAGTATGCCCGCAAAGTGTTCGGAGAAATTCCCGAACCAAAGGTAGTTCTTTGGAATACGATGATCAGGGGATATTCACGAGTGGGTAGTCCTGGAAAGGCAGTGTCTTTGTATTTGGAGATGTTGAGGAGCAATGTGAAGCCGGATAATTACACATTCCCTTTCTTGTTTAAGGGGTTTAAGCCTGAAACTGCATTGGCAGTGGGAAAAGGATTGCATGCCCATGTGTGGAAATTTGGGTTCAACTCCAATGAATTTGTTAACCGTTCTCTGATACACATTTATTTCATGTGCAGGGAAGTTCATATGGCTTGCGGCATATTTGATCAGAGTGCTAAAACTGACGTGGTTATATGGAACATGATGATCTCTGGGCTCAACAAGTGCAAAAGGTTCAGGGTATCTAAGCAATTATTTTTTGAAATGGAGGAGAAGGGAATAGTGCCCACTGTGGTTACTCTGGTTTCATCACTATCTGCTTTCTCGGAGTTGAGCGACTTAGATTCCGGGCAGCGTGTGCACCAGTATGTAAAAGACTGTAAAGTTGAATCAACTTTAATTCTTGATAATGCTTTGATGGATATGTATGCATGCTGTGGGGAGATAGATTCTGCTCTTGAGATATTCCACGGAATGAAGCTGAGAGATGTTATATCATGGACTTCAATCATCAAAGGGTTTATCAGTTCAGCTCAGATGGATTCAGCTAGAACCTATTTTGACAATATGCCAGAGAGGGACTCTGTTTCTTGGACAGCAATGATCGACGGGTACGCCAAAGAAAACCGGTTTAAGGATGTTTTGGCTCTTTTCCATCAAATGCTAGCTGAAAATGTGAAACCGGATGAGTTCACCATAGTTAGCGTTCTCACTGCATGCGCACACCTTGGAGCACTTGAGCTTGGGGAGTGGGTGAGGACTTACATTGACAAGAACTCTATAAAATTTGATCTTTATCTGGCGAACACTTTGATAAACATGTATTTCAAATGCGGTGAGGTGGAAAAGGGAGTTTTAATGTTTAATTGTATGCCCCAAAGAGATAAATTCACTTGGACGACCGTGATTGTTGGCCTTGCGGTCAATGGACATGGACAAGAAGCTCTAGATGTTTACTCCCAAATGTTGAGATCTTCGGAAAAGCCCGATGATGTCACCTATGTAGGCGTTCTTTGTGCTTGTACTCATACTGGTATGGTTGAGGAAGGATGGAAATTCTTCACCACCATGAAATCACAGTATGGAATTGAGCCTAATGTAACACACTATGGCTGTTTGGTTGATCTTCTAGGACGAGCTGGGCGGTTGAATGAAGCTCTCAAGGTTATTAATAATATGCCAATGAAACCAAACTCGGTTGTCTGGGGAGCTCTTCTTGCTGCTTGCAGGTAGGTCTGCAATCAAACCAAACATTAAATGCTTTGAATTTTGTTTGTTTAGTATCGAGCTCTTTTCAAACTTCTCCATGGCTCACAAACTTTTCCAAGCCTTAACGAGTTTAATAAACAAAATTCTAAGAAAAAGCATTTAAATAATTTGAAATAAGTATTCCATATTTACAGCAGCCTTGCTTGCAGGGTCCACAAAGATGCAGAAATGGCAGAAATGGCAGCTAACCAACTTCTTAGGCTAGAACCCACAAATGGAGCTGTTTATGTTCTACTGTGCAACACATATGCATCTTGCAATAAATGGGAAAACCTATGTCTGCTTAGAAGAAGAATGATGGACGAGGGGATCACAAAAACTCCAGGGTGTAGTGTGATAGAGATGAATGGTTTCGTCCATGAATTCGTGGGGGGTGATCAATCACACCTTCAGCTCAGAGGGATATATTCAACATTGAATGAGGTAATCAAACACTTGAAGAAACTTGCTGGGTATGTTCCTGATACGTCAGAGGTTTCTCTTGACATTCGAGAGGAGGAGAGAGAGAAGTCTGTTTTAGGGCATAGTGAGAAGTTGGCTGTTGCATTTGGGTTAATGAGTTCCAGTCCTGGAGTCACCATTCGTATAGTGAAAAATCTACGGATGTGCATAGATTGCCATCGTTTCGCAAAGTTGGTTTCAAAGGTTTATGAGAGGAAACTAATAGTAAGAGATAGGACTCGATTCCACCATTTCACAAGCGGCTTATGCTCTTGTAAAGACTATTGGTAATCTCAGCCCATGTGGTGACATGCCATTCCTTAACCATTTCATGGGTTTGATCCCTATTATGGGAATGCACGATGCACCACATTGCATGGCTAACAGCGAAGGTATTGTGCACCCGGAAACAGAAAGTGGTGCTCAAAAGGTTTCGGAGGAGGTTCTGTAACAATTCTCAAGGGGGGAAAGGTTGATTCCAAAAAGTTTCAGTTAGTCGAAACTGGTACTCCCTGTCCCATTTTTACTATTCCTAGTCTATATTCATTGTGTTTTTTAGGCTTTTAGCCTATGCTTATACTTATTAGAAATGTAAGTTTTATTTGCTTACTTTAAACGTTACAAAAACTGAACAAAAATAGTTACGAAATTGATGAAAAACCACCTCGGTGTACGCAAATTAGAAATAGTCAGTCCGGTTTTTGGAAGTTGGCAAACAACTCAGTTTTATTTACCAAATTACAAGTGTTCAATGTTTTGCTTTACAAATTTGTTTTCTCTCTGCTTTTTTTAAAAACCCTTTCTTTAAAACAAGATATAATTCATAGAAAATAATCTTCTTAAGATCAAGTGCCAAGGATCCTTTTCTTATCAATGTCTTTGGGAAAAAAAATTACTATCAAAATATACTAGTTGAATAACGTCTACTTTATCATATTAACTTCTGAATATTTCTAGGATTGGTACATTAGATTCAAGAGGTTATCCATGAATTCTGCAAAAGATATCTAACTTATGGAATATGGAACTGCTCTCAATTCTTTGAACAATATTCATGTAATTTCCACTGCAGGCTTGTTAAAAAATGAATTGTAATTGTACTTATTACACATTTTCTTGTTTGGGTTCTTTCCCTTTTTTACTTGTAACTCCAAAATGAAATACAGGTAATGAAGTGCATATAAAGAGGTCTTCTAAGGAAAGCACCTTCTTCTCATGGAGAGAAATCATTGGAAGAGCTACCCATCCCAAGTTCAGTAAAAACTCTTTGTAAGTGTAAATTTTTTACAGGGGTAATCGAAGACTTGCTTTTTCAAAAGTTTATGGCTAATCTTAAACAATTAATTATTTAAGTTTTTTTTAAAAAAATTGTACAGGTTGGATTATTTCATTTTAAAAATAATTTAAAAAGTTTAAGTGATTGGGTTTTTTATTGTCTAAACAAGCATATAATTTTCACACAAAATGGAAATTTTTGGTATATTCTTTAATTTTAAATTCTTAAAAATTATAATCTGTAAAAAATATACACTCTCTTTCTTGAAGTAGTCGTCCTACTTCATTATTCAACACTCAAAATTTTCCTTCTTTCTTTATTTATTTTCGCTCATTATTTGTTACTCCGTAAAATAATACTCTTTCGGCCTCACAAAACTTTTCTTCTTTCTTTTTTCATTCGTCCCAAAAAAATATTTCTCATTTATATTAAAAAGTCACTTTTACCCCTTTTAGTTCTAAACCTACCTATCACATCATATTTTCTTCACTATTAACTTACATCATATCATACTTTTACCCATTACGTCAAAATATACTCTCCTTAAATATACTCTTCTTAAAAGTCAAAACAAAAAAAGTTTTGTGGGACGGAGGGAGTATACCCATTTACATCTTTTAAAGAGCATTAATGGAAGAACCATCCACGCAACACTAACGTGACTTGAAAGACTATCCGTGGAATTTTTAAAGTTGAAGGACTAACCATGCAATCCTAACATGACTTGAAGGACTATTCGTAGAATTTTCAAAACTGAAGGACTAACTGTGGATAATGCAATAACTTGAAGGACCAACCGTGGAATTTAGTCTTTAAAGAATTGCTTATAATCTTTATATTTATGATCGGTATACTAGTACTAAATTGAATTAGAATTAGACTCGCTCAATTCAATTGTAACAATGGCCAAAAGTTTTAGGGTGATGCTTTTCACAAATTATGAACAATTTGCTCTCTCAATTATTATTATTACTTCAGTTTATGCCCACTTATATAATTTCCCCTTTGAGCATTGAGTAATCCGCCTACTTTGTTTTGAACAGCAGATGAATAAAGTGGAAGAGTATCAACCCTTTTCAGAAATACCCTCTGCTCTCTTATGGGAAATTCTGGGTAGAGTTTCCATTAAGACGTGTTTAACGTGTAAGCTTGTTTGCAAACAATGGCATCGTATCGTGAACAGACCAGAGTTCTCTTCTTTTCGTTGCAATCTCAAACCCTCCCGGTTTATGATCTTGTTTCATGACAACTCCAGCGCCGGTAGGGGGTTTAGTTTCGATTTGGTTGAGCTTGAAAAGACTTTGGACGCCGATGATTCGGGTAATTTGTCTGTATGTGTTAACGATCTGATTAGGTTTAAGCCTAGAATTAACCAACCCGTCCAGTAAGATATGGTCCGTCAAGTCTCATTGCAATGGGGTTGTTTGTTTCGTAAATGAAAGAGTAAACTTCTTCATATGCCATTTGCTCACGGGGCAAAGTGTGAAGTTAGAGAATCAACTGTGGAATAGGTTTTTATATATATCTGGCTGTGAACAGGGGGTGTTGCCCGGTGTCGGGCCAATTCAAGGTTCTTCTTTTGCTATGGGACGAGGCAAATAAGATCCAACTCGCAACGATAGCAACAATACTGACTTTGGGTGAGTGTGAATGGAGGAGTGTGGGCAATGCACCGATGAAGATTAGGATGGGTGGTTGTTTCCTGAGCGGGTCTACTCATTGGCTCGATCGCAATTATATATGCTCATTTCATTTCGGCAAGGAAAAGTTTTTGCGAATCTCATTACCCGATGATGTCAACATTGGATCCTATAAGAAGACGAATAAAATTTTGAGCATTTCTCGACTCTTGCCTATGTTTAGGGTGTTTCGCCGAGGGTGTTGGTGTTGAGATCGACATATGGACAATGAAGAAGTATAGCGTGAAGGAATCTTGGGTGAGACAATTTGTCATAGTTCTTGATGCGTGGAGTGTGCCTCTAATGCATATGGATATGGGAGAGATACTTGTAAGCAATGGATATAGATTATTTTTACATGATCCACAAACTAAGGTTTTTAAATAGTAAATTTCATAATTCGTCCTTTATAATAGGGGGTTTTCTAATTTAATCCTCGGTTATCAAATATTATTCCGGTGGTCCTTCTTTTATGAGTATCTTTCCACAAATAATCCTTTTTTGATCTTCTATAATGTTAGTGATAATTTGAAGCTGAAAGTTTAATTTCATAGTGATAATATATATTTCTTGTCATACACAATTCCAAAGGCCGTCCCTGATGCGTCGTTTGTAAATTACAGTCGCTTTCTATCTGTCGTCAAAATCTTAGCTCACAATCATAGTCATTATTTTTGTGTTATTCGTCTGACCAATATTAGAATACGTTATTAGATATAAGGTTGATGTCAAATTATACTTTTAGCCTTTACATTAATACCAACATGACAAAAGATTAAAAAAACTATTTGTTGAAAGACACCTATAAAAGAAGGATTACAAGAGTAATATTTGATACTTCGTAATAGAGAACTAAATATGGAAATCATTATTATGAAGGACCAATTAAGAAATTCAGTTGTTTTAAAGGAGTGAACTTCGAGCTCATTGGACCTCTTAGTTGTGTGGTGCTACATGTAGGATTTGATTTAAGGTTCTCGAGGTTTTAAACTCATACGGAGTATAACACTATGCTATCTATTTATCTATGTATTTATTTCTTTATGTATTTATTTGTTGCCTTGATTGTTTGAGAGCTTGTTTGAGTTAATTTAGAGTGCGTTTGGAAGTGATTAACTTGTGGATAAAGTGATTTTGACAAAAGCTGAAAGTAAAAGCATCTCATAAATACTTCTCTGAAACGGTGTTCTATGTACAAAATAGTAGTGGAGAAAAGCAGAAACTGACATTCCAAACAAAGTAAGACCACTACCACTCAAAACAGAAACTAAATTACTAGTATAATTGTATGCCTTGGCATCTTAGCAAAATAGTGTACCCGTAGAAGAGAGTAGGAGTGGGCACGAGTCGGGTCTGTTCGCGTGTTATACCGTCCCACGTTTTGTCTCATTTTTTTCAAACGGTTCAAGTCACAAGTTTATCCTTCTTTGTCATTTAATATTCGTGATCAGGATAAAACGGAAAGGGTTTAAGTTGTCCCAAAAATATTAAAAATATAAGGCAGGAGGCAACCCACTTCAACTTGCAAATAACAATGCACCTAATAAAACATGAAAAATTATAGAATAAGCAAAGCCTATTTATGATTTGAGGAAAGCTAAAACTATGTTTGTTTCAAGGACAATTATAAGAAAAATAAAAGAAAATGAGATGAAAAAAATATTTTTTTAAATATGATTATAGAGGAAAAGAAAAAGAAAAAGTGATAACAAGTGAATTAAGAGGAGGGAAAATTAAGTTCCTCCTTTTTGTGATAAAATGAGACAAGAACTTTTTATATTTTCTTTCATACTTTCTTGAACCAAACATAGTGTAAAGGATTTACTATGCTAGCTCACCCATTATACTTAAACTTTAAAACATAGAAAATCAGTATACACCTTGTACATCCTGAATAACTTATACTCCCTCCGTCCCCCTATTTTTGTCCACATTTGACTTTTAGAACTGTTCATTTAAGCACTTTGACTCATCAAATTCTCTCAATGTGTAAGCCTAAATATAGTCATGTGTGATCTTGTTTGATTTGTCTTAACATATAGATTATTAATATATAATTTCTATAATCTTTTAATATACAAATTACAAGATAAAATGGATTAAAGAAGTGTATTGGATGGTGTGTAAAAATGAAAGTGGACAAATACAGGGAGACGGAGGGAGTACTCATCTTGACTTTTGCCCTTCAAATTTTTTTCTCCTGATTTCACTGCTCGAGATCTTCAACGCAACATTTTGACCAGTAATATCTATACCATAAATTTATACATACATACATATACATATATATATATATATATATATATATATATATATATATATATATATATTCTTTATTTCATAAAAATATATGACGTTTAAAATTATGTTCCAAAATGATTCTATTAATAATGAACTTATATCATAATATGATGTATTTTTTCAGCATATTGAGAACAAAATTTAAAAACATTGACCAAAGAAAAGTCAAATAGAAAAAAAGCAGAAAAATTGGGCATCAATAAATATGTAATCTGAAATCAAAGCATGCATGAGAGCATCACTACACTGAAGCTTCAAAATAAAATCAATTCTGCAGTCACAAAAGAACAAAAGCTTATGTGTTAAATCTCTTTTGGTCACCAAGTCATACACAAAAACTATATTCTAATGTAGTTTAGAAAGGAACCATATGTGATTTTCTGTTTCAGCAGGAACATCTTCATGCAGGCACCTTGAATAAACAAACAAAAAAAAGGTTGTTGACAATGTTTTGTAATCAGCTAACTCCATGGGTTCCCAATTGGGCACAGACAACAAAAAACATATTCAGTAGAATCCCAAAAAATCGAATCCGAGGGTGTGTGCACGCAGACCTTACGCCTACTAGGTAATAGAAAGGTTATTTCCAAGATACCCTAAGCTCAAAAACAGAAAAAGAAGCCCTTGTACCACGAACGGAATATGAACATAGACAGAAGATGCATCATAGTCGACAAAAAGCACCGACAAAACTCCCTCTGAGTAATATCAGCCAGCAAAATGAAAAACACAATAGCACATCAAATCTGGGCAACCTAACTATAGATATGAAAGAAACAGTTCCTTCCCCAAATGTTCGACCTTTATTTTAGAAAATGAAAGAAACGGTTCAGACCAAAAACTACGAAACTCACATCTCCATCAACACTGAAAGTAAACCAAAACTAAGGGAAAATGATTTTTGTACCCAATCCACCCGATCGGTTCGAAACATTTCTTCAATGGGGAACCAAATATTTTCCTTCCCTCCCCCGGCCAAACAAACCTAATGAGACATTTCAAACACAACAATAATCCCATTAACAAAACGATTAGACTCAAATTACGGGGAAGAAAAGTTGATCGATAGCTTATATCACATGTGTATCAAAGGCCAAGAACTAGGAAATTCTGCCCTACTTATAAATTAACAGCAACAACATAACCACATAGAGTTACTTATGTGTTTGATCAGTCACTTATGCAAAACTTGGGTTTCTTGAAGAAAAGGCAGATCAGATCGGGCTCGCAAAGACCCAGACTTTGTAAAAAAAGAGAAAATTTGCAACAAAAAAATGTAATACTTTTATTTTATTTGTGCTAAAATGAAAAAACAGCTTTATCAAAAGGTATGCCAAACATGCTCTTAAAATTTAAAGAAAGGCAGCCAACTTGTAACAAAAGTGTTCATTCAGAGAGAAGAATATACCTGAATCTTATAACCTTAAGAAACTTGCATCAAATCCAGCCAAAGGCATCATGGCATAAGAAAACTCATTGAACTCAAATTTCCCTACCTCAGAAACCCGGGTTTGTGTATCATACAAATACAATATGAATCCATTCATTAAAAGTATCTTTCCCTTATCCAATTGCACTATCGGCACACACAATTCATTAGTCACTATAACAAATTGCTTCACCCAAGATTCTTTCACGCCATACTCCTTCATTATCCATACATCCATCGTAACACTACCATTCCGTTGGGAGAAACATCCCAAACATAGGCAAGAGTCTAGAACAATCACTTTTTTCTTCCGCTTATCATAAGCTGTCGTGACGATGTCATTAGGTATTGGGATTCGCAAAAACTTCTCCTCCCCAAAATGAAAGGACCATATGTAGGCGCGACCACACCAGTGACTAGACCCATTCAGAAAACATCCGTCTCTCAAGTTCTTCAAAGGTGCATTGCCCACGCTCTTCCATTCACCATTACCCAACGTCTGTATCATCGTGAGCTCGATCTTACCCAGCAGGTCACAAATAAACATGAGAACCTTGAATCGGCCTGTCACCGGGCAACACCCGAGTTCACAACCCATACTATGATAAGAACGATGCTGCTTCAACTCATGCAGATTTTGGACATTCACGCACTGGCCAGAGAGCAAATTGCATACAAAGTATTCATCCCTTATACTTCCAAAACAAACAGCTCCATTGCACCGAGACAAGACATAAAATTTTTGACTGGGTGTGTCAAATTTCGGCCGAATTTTAATCAGATCATCACCACCCACAATAAAATTGCCCGAATCATCAACATTCAAGGCCTTTTCAAGCTCAACCAAGTGGAAAACGATCCCCCCACCACCGGTCCAGGCGTTATAAAACAACAAGGTGAATCGGGAGGCGTTACAGTGGCGGCGGAAAGAAGAGAATTCTGGACCGACAACAATATCGTACCATTCTTTGCAAACAAGCTTACAAGTTAAACACGTCTTAATCGGAACTCGGCCCAGAATTTCCCATAATATGACAGAAGGGATTTCAGAGAAAGGTTGATACTCTTTTACTTTCTTCATCTGTGGTTCAAACACAATTGGATTACTCACAGATGAAAAGGAAAACAAGGGTTTAAGGGATTATTATTCCGCCAGCAGTAAATTAATCACAATTAACTTCAAAAGATGATAAAAAGAACGCAACCTTAAAAGATATCCATCCTTTAAGCTTTTGTTGGGGCCATGCATTCCACCGTACTGTGCGAACACTACCGGAAAGAAGAGATCGTACCTATATATTCATTACTCAGAGGGGAAATGGCAAACAAGGTTTTACTCCTAGGGATAATTTGGAGCATTCCAATTCAATCACGTTTGAAAAGAATGAGATCTCTAAGGCCGGGTTTGGTAAAGGAAATTCAAACTATTGGAATTGAAGACTTCAATTCCAATTCTCGTGTTTGGTATCACAAAAATTATGTAGATTTGGAATTGGTAGTGCAAAAAATGAATTGGAATTGGTGAATTCAATTCTGTGGAATTGAATCCCATGAAATTTTAATTCCAATTCAATTCCAATTACATCAATTCTGTGTACCAAACAGACCCTAAGAGAGATTCGCCTAGGTCAAAAATGCAAATTTGAGGCAAATTTACCTCAAATTTGCACTAGATAGTACTAAAAAATAGTACATCTTTTTCTGATGTAAGACTTAAACTTTTTTTATTTCATAAATAGAACTTGAATTATGTCTAGTGACGGATATTTACTTGAACAATAACTAATAGACATTGAACATTGAATAGCGGTACTACATTGGAAAATAAAAACATATGATACTACATTGAGTAATCACTATTTTTTAGTACTATTTAGGTAAATCCCATTTTTTCAAAAAAAATGACGCAAAGAAAATTTAATAAAAAAGTAACCAAAAAAGAAAAAAAGATTAAATTATGAGTAAAATATAGAGAAATACAATGTTAATAAGATGAATATATAACACCAAAAAAATATTGCAGATTGCCAATATATAGTCACACATTCTCACTGTGTAAAATCCTATTTTGGAGATAAAAATGGAACTGCTACTTTGGTACATTTTCTAGATTTTACTCCCTTTTTGGATGATTTCTTAAAAATTTACAAAACATTATTTTTTGGGTTAAATGGTCTTCAAACTTTTTAAATATTAATAACTCTATTTTATGATATTATCTGTTCATATATTCTCAATCTATTGAATCAATTAGAATTATTGCTTCTATTGGGCCGGAGTTCCAAGCATAAACTTCCCATTTGGGAGAGAGAAAGATTTTAACTTTTTTTTAGTAAAAACTATAGTACAAACCATTTTCAGGGCCCGTTTGGTAAGTTTTGAATGTATGATGTGATAATAGTTTTGAAATTTAAGACAAATAATATAGACTCTGAAAATTAAAATGAAGTTACTTAGAAAGATTTAAAATTGTGAATTAATTAGATAGGCGGGGGTGATTGACAACGAAGGTAGTTGGCAATGATAGTGGTAATTGGTGGCAGGAAGTGATCAACGATTAAGAAAAATATGAAATCCATATATTGATATCTTCTAAATTTAAAATATATTTCCATATGGATCGGAGAATTTGTAATATATGAATATATAAAATTGTTATCTCTTTAGATTGCACCAAACATATCTCTTTTGGTCTACGTTTAGATATTGATTGAACTTGGAACGTGTTTTCTCTAAGGCCTCTTCCACTTTTCTCTTTCGTCAACTCAGTGTCACGTCAGTTTTAATTTTTTCTTCACCTTCTCTTCCCTTTTACAGAAAAATGACTTTTCCTTTTCCTCTCCTATTTTTAATTTTATTTTTAACACTTATTTTAATTTAAACAATTAAACTAAAAATATAAAAAAATAAAATAATTAAAAATGTTATTAAACTTGTAATAATTATACATTTTACTAAAACTTAAAGTAAAAAATACAATAATTATGAAATACTCCCCCGTTTCTACATGATTTACACAATTTACTATTCAAAAGTTGAGGAAATTTTTGTTTATTTAATTTCTGTGTTTTCATTAACTATTTGACGAAATAAAATATTCTTGTCACCTATTGTTATGTACAACTTTTGATGTACTTTTTAAGTCTTTAACTTTTATATTTTATTTATATACCAATGTTTAAATAAAATAAAATTTTGTTTAGTTGTGTGTTTTCATTAACTATTTGATAAAATAAAATGTTCTTATCACCTCTTGTTATGTATAACTTTTGATGTACTTTTTAAGTATGTAACTTTTATTTTTTATTTATACACCAATTTTTAAATAAAAAGAACTGAAAAATTTAAAATTTTACTTCGTTTTGCGTAAAATGTAAATGATTTAGGGACGAAGAGAATAATATAATAGTGCGTAAAAGAATACATTTTTTTGGAAAAAAAATAACAATACATATTAAAAATGAATATAATAGTAAAAGAATTGAACACTCCCGCTTGTCACTAGCCGCACTTCCAAGCCACCTCTGGAATATGTTATCTTTCATCCTCATCACCAACGCAACCTCCGTCGCACCAAGCTTATCGACGTCGGTGATCATGATTTTGGAGTCTTCTTGCTCTAGGTGTTTGTAACACCCGCCTTCCGCGGACCCGGTTCACCCGCGACCCAACGGACCGGTAGGGTTACATGGGCGGTCCGAGAACCGTCCGTAGAGAAAAACGCATTAATGACTATTTATTATGAAACCGGTTGTGTTTTAATTAGTGAAATGAATGCTAGGGAGTTAACCCCATATCGTGTGTGATATAAATGCAGAGTAAAAGTGGAAGTAAATAAATGAATAAAACGACAAATGGTGGGTTCGTGCCCAAATGATTAATTAATTAAATGTATTTAATTATTGAACTTGTCCATGCGCCGCCCATCTTCCCACCATCACTGTCCTCCAGGGTTAGCACCTGCACCGTCATGTCTACCTGCGTGTAGCAAAAACAACTACACGCTCAGCAAAAGCTGAGGAGTGAATCTAACAAAAGAACATGAAGTGATAACCCATATGGTTATACACATA